CCTGGTGGTTGGGCACCAGCGTCCGTTCTGCGCGCAGTTTACAAACGCGAATATCCCAAGTTTTTAAAACGCTTCACGGCGTTCGTCATCAGCCAGACGAAGGACAAGCCGATCATGTTCTAGCAGCGGTCGCCGGACTAAGCTAAAGCTAGTGATAACGCACGGTGCGATACATGCGGTGGCAAAACCGTCAAGAAACAAGCGTACAAGCGTTGCAGTCAGGTAGTATTTTAGCGGGCGATTCATATTCTCTTAAACAAAGCAGAAAACACAGATAATGCGTTTATAATAAAATATTTTTTAAAACTTTTTAAACCTACCGGTAAGTTACAGTTACGGATATATGGAAAGTTTGAACTTTTTCTCTTTTTGTAAAGAAGTTTTAAGCGCGTATAGAATTATTGCTATTTAAAGATTGTTGTATTTGTATTGTTCCATCCGTTATGTTACACTTTACACTTTTTATTTCTAGTTTGTAAGTTTCTAAGTTTGTGATGTAATGTGTGTTGCTGCCCGAAGGGAACAGAGGAGCGCGGATTTGAGGTTACAAATTGACTGCGATGCAGGCTGGAAATTGTACAAAAATGTTTGTTGATGAATTTCAATATATTAATCACATGTTACTGTAAATTGCGCTGCGATACGCTCCGCGATGCAAGCGGATGAAGTCTATGTGAATGTGAAGTTGCCTTGATTAACGATAATTCCTTGGAGAGTCAACTAATTAACAAATCTACTAAAGTCTACTTACTAAACGCAAACTAAAAGAAAAAAACTCTTATACTTATACTAAACTACCAGTACACGCGCTGACTAAACGTATTTTTGACTTTTGTGATCATTGCATTGCGTACGCTTTCATTGTTAACTTGACAACGGAATCAGTATAATCCTATACAAAGTTATTGTAGAAACTATGGCGAAATGGTGGAAACAAAAAGTATTCAAACTATTGTGAGCATATTTTTATATTTTAAACAATTTTAAAGCGTATATTGTAATGTGGAGGTGCACAAAATCAGATTGATAGGCAAAGAAATCGTAGAAATAATTTTTAATTGTTAGTTTTAGTATATTTACGCTGATTTTGTGCGATGTGTTGGTAAAAGTTGCTGGAAATGGACCGAACTTTTCGATGTTAAATCAAAACCTAATCTAATCTAGTTCAGATTTTTATTGTTTTCAAACTGATGAGCGAATGACGTCCGTCCCAAACAAAAAACAAACGTAGCAACAATTGTTTACTCATTGAAATGTTTAAAAACTCGTCAGTATAGTGAATGATCATTGATATTACTTAAAAATCTCTTTATATGAAATTATTCTGCATATATATTTTAAAATGAATGTTTTTTGAATTTCTTAAGATATATGAATGTGCATTTTGTGAATAATGTGGTGCGTATTAACGGAAACGGCGTGGCTTAATAGCAAATAAGGGAATTGTCTGAAAAAAAACAGAAATATGTGTGCACATAAATTTATACTATACATCATTTTATCTGTCTGTTTAGTTATACTTTATATGATTATTATGTTTATCGTTTGTACATTTTGTAAAAACGCAGAAAGATTTTATCCCCATACTAACATTATTCCTAAGAAATCAAACGAACAGACATTCGAGGCAACAAAAGAATCTTTTTAAACGTAATAACTTATTCCGACGTTATTACAAACACTAAGTTTTTTATGTGATCACAGAGAAACTAGAAAAGAAATGAAAGTGAAACAAATGAAAATTTATATTAAAATGTAAGTTATTCTTAATCTTTGAGATAATTATTATGATGTATGACGCTGATGTTTATTATTATAAAAAATGAAACACATGATTGTTTATTTAAAAAGAAGTGTAACAAATACCCTAGTTATACATTTTTATCAGACTTTATATTAATATTTATTGTTAATTTTACTGGTTTTATCAATGAATTCCTTCCAATGGGGAGAATGATTTGTATTGGTATAGTTTATCATCGCCATAACCATACAGCAGACGTCCGACGCCATTTTCATCATAGTATGGGTAACGATATTTCGGTCTAAAACAAAATCAGGAATTAAATCGTATAAACAGACACAATATGAATATAGAAACGATCAAACTTTAATTCTCTTCACTGTTCAATCATGAATAGAATGAAAATAACAAAAGAAACTTCACAACAGTGAAAATAGTTTTCTATAATCTTAAATTCACACAATTTATAGAATGTAATACAAGAGCAATAACCTTGCACACACACTAATTGTATAATTTACTATTATTGAATCGATTTATTATTCAACTATTATTCAAGCACGTTGCACACATGAGTGATTAATTAATTGTACACGCATCAATCTTTAACTGACTCAAGATCATCAAATAAGTGCATAGTCATCGAATTAAACAACCATTTTGTTTAAAAGTTTGATTTAAAGTTTAAAACATTAAAACACCGGTACTGACCTTTCAAAATATTGAAAATTTGGTGCTCGTGGTTGTAATGTTGCTGTTACCATCCATAAACAACTAATTACCTAAAAAACATAGTTTAATATGATTTATTCCTTAATAAGTTTCATATTATTGCTTGTATGTACTTACAAGAAGCAAAACAAGCTGCAGTTTAGCCATTTTGAAAAAATCCAATAGTTTTATATCACTTTGTAACTTGTAACACTTTAAACGCGCGACGCTTCACTTTACTTCTCTTCAGAGTAAAAAAACTAACTGTTCTTTACGGCAACTTGATTCGAGCGCTTTCAACTGTTTCAAGAACAACACAATCTATGAATAATGTAATACAATAACAATTCAGGTAGTTGTTATTAAGTTATTACATTTGTTCAGTACTGGTTGAGCTCTTCTGCTTGCGTGCAATGATAAATAATTTCTAAACGATTGCGATTTGTGGATTTCGGAAATGCGTGCGAACGCGCGTGCAGGTTTATACTGGTTGGTGAGTCGCGCAGGTAACACGAAGAGCTGCAGGAGCGCGAAGGTGAAGTGAAGTAAGCGACCGGGCAAGGCGCAGTGAAACTTACCTAATACAGAAGAGAAAGTGTTTCCATTACCACTGGAAGTTTGCTTGTTTGCTCGCGCAACTTGTATATTCCACGGTTTCATTGCATGAATCGCAAGTATCGCAGAATGCAAAAGTCGCCAAGTACGAGTACTCTACCTACCGCAAGACCTTGTAAACGCACAAAGAATTAATTGAATGTTTCTTGTGCGTGAAACTGTAAACTCAGCAAGCGAAAAGGGAATTTAATTCAGAAATTTATTTAGTATAGGTCTACAACAATAAATTTTGGAAAATTTCACCTGTCACATCCATATTAATGTTGTATATTTGTTTACATTTAACAATTACTTAAATTACTTTGAAAATATTTGTGTTAAAAGCAAATAATTTCATTAAACATAATTGTAGGCTTGTTTAAATTGTGATGTGCTGAATGTCACGTTAGCACACAACAAAAAAAAAATGAGTGAAATTATATACCGGTTAACATTACCAAAATTTATTCACTTCCAAGCGCCTGCCGGAAATTTTAATTTTAATGTCATGCCATTTCACTTCGAATGTGACTCGTCGATTACATAATTGTCTCACAACATTCTTTCTATTACACTTACACCTCTGGCCAAATGTCTGACACACTTCTCCATTCAAACGTATACTTAGTATACTTACTCTTAATTTTTTGACGCTTCTAGAACACATAATCGATACATTGATAGTCATAACGCACGCAATGCACAAACTATTAAAAATTTAATATCAAAATCAACCAATTACGTAAAATTGCATTTTATTATCAGTAAGTATCACAATTTCTTGATAATTTCACTTACGTAACTTTTAATAGTGGTTAATTAATAAAAATTACGGTTAATTGGACTGTTTAAGTGATTTGAACACGTTTAAATACTTAATGGGAATATTTAAATACTCTAGCAATTCATTATTTCTAATAACTATGGCCCAAAAGTTGTAAATCTCGTTGTTTTTGTTGAATTCGTCTCTCTTGTTCAAAACCATCAACACCGAGGCCTAATCTTTCGATTGCTTTTTCACCAAAGCGGCCATTAAGCTCCTGATATTGTCTGGAGCGTCTTGGTCCTTCATCTGGATCAAAAGTCCATTCTTGTTTTTTATGTAGGACTGGTATACCAAACACGTTGTACTGCAATAAGTCCTTTACAAAGTTTATAGCGCAAGATCCATAAGCCACGAAGGATAATAAAAATAATATCTACAAATACATTATTACATTATTTTATTATTATTTAAATTAATAATCGTTGACTTACATGTAATATCTTCATTTTTCCTGGTTTCAAATTAGCAAAATGTTTCTATTGTGTTTATTGTCTTTCGCTAATGCAACTCACGTAATAACGCACGTAATCGAAAGTATTTTCGAGTACGTTGAACGAATGTGTGCGCCACGCACGGCACGAACAAACTAAACCAGCAGACGCATGCCGCACAAGCCGAGTTGCAAACGTCAACTCTTGCATAAATTTGTGGAGGACGCGGAGCGAAACGCGAATTCTACGCGAAGAAGAGTGAAAGTAAACAACCGTTAACAAGAAGCGCTCGAGACGCACGTAATAATATTATGATGACAAAGTAAACGCCAAAAATTATATTTGCATGAAATGGTACCAAAGTTTTGAGAAAAAAATGTCCCCACTCAATTTAATTCACATTCCGCTACTAGAACTTCTCTTAAGTATTCAACAAACAATTAAAATCATTTTTTGCCCTCTTTTGGTATTCATTGAGTATATCTAAATACGCCATTTTGTAATATTTGTTTATGATTATTGTAATATTGGTTGTATACAATTCAATACTACATGACTAATATGCACTAAATTTAAACTTTTAAGCAAATATTGTCGGCTCGTCCATCCTTTGTCATTGATATCACAGTTATCACTACGTTCCCACAAAGTCACCTCGAACAACATCCGTGTTAGCCTTTGTCTACGCTGCCGAATTTGTCTGTTATCACGCAGTTTTCGTCGGGCGGTCGCAGTGTTAACAGCCGACAAATTTTACCGTTTTCATTCTTGTCCACGTGCCGTCCTCCGATCATCATCACGCCATAAATCTTCGAACATCTCCGCGAGGACGCCGTGTTTTAAATTTATTTTAAATGTTACGTTAATTTAAGGTAACTCTACTTATTCCCGTGGAAATATTTCTGTAACTAATCGATTATTTCTAGTTTTTAAATATGTATTATCGTCACGTGTTGCTCGTCTTGTGCTGGACGAGCTGTGCGTTTGCCTTCTTGGACTCGCTCTTCTTGCAACTGGATGCTAGTTGCACTCAATTGGGGAGCGATGTCTTCGCCTGCAGGAACAGCAAGTGTGTACCACGCGAAAAACGCTGTGACGGACATGCGGACTGTTTGGATTCCTCCGATGAGGAAGATTGCGGTAAGAAAATAATCATATCAAGAATATAAAGAAAAAAAAAAGAAAAATTTGGTGGTTGTATTGTGTTTATAGAAGTTTTTTTTTGTCGGGAACCACACTACTTCCGGTGTGCCAATAACAAATGTGTGTCTGCAACGTTCCGCTGTGATAAAGAGAATGACTGTGGAGATTTCAGTGATGAAGCTGATTGTACTGATTTTAAGGTAATTTAATTCTAAAATTTTAAAATTGTTTCTAATTTGTTGTGTATATAGTATACTTTAGCACATCCTGCAAATTGCTCATCGGAAGAATGGCAATGTGTGGACCACCTCTGCATTCCCAAAGATTTTGTCTGTAACGGTGAGAACGATTGTCTTGATGGTACAGATGAAACCCTCGGATGTACGCTGAACATGGAATGCGATGGTTTCAAATGTCACAATGGTCATTGCTTACCGCTGGAGTGGCGTTGCGATGGTCTCGCTGATTGTCAGGACAAATCTGATGAACTTGATTGCGGTACGTAACATTCATTAAAATCACATTAAAAACATTTTAAAAAACTAAAATTTTAATTTCTACGTTCCAGATTCTCATGTACAACCTAAAGATTGCACACTAGAAAATCAAAAGTTCCTCTGTTCGGACAACCGTACCTGCATTGACCTGAAAAACGTCTGTGACGGCAGTTACCAGTGTCCCGACAAATCCGATGAAGCCAACTCATGTTCCACTCGCAAAGGCTGTTCTACAAAACACTGCAGCCACACCTGTGTTGATTTACCCACGGGTGCAACCTGTACGTGCCCAACAGGATACCGCCGCATAAACGACGCCGACTGCCGTGATATCAACGAATGTGAAGAGTATGGAATCTGCGACCAGAAATGCCACAACACTCCAGGGTCCTACGAATGTCTCTGTGATCCCAGATATCTTCTACAGAGTGATAAACATACTTGTAAAGTAGTTGGAGGAGAAGCATTGATGATGTTCAGCACAAAGACTGAGATTCGCGGATATTTTCTGCAATCTGAACTATTGTTTCCTGTCGCACAGAACCTGAAACAAGTAGTGGGGGTTAACTTTGATGGTCACCACGTGTACTGGACGGATATCCATGTGGAGCATGAAAGTTTAGTCAGATCTCTAGAAGATGGCAGTGAAAGGGAATTATTGGTCACTGCAGGGTTAGGTGCCCCGGAAGATTTAGCTGTGGATTGGATCACTGGAAATATCTACTTTACCGATTCGGAGATGCAACATCTTGGGGTGTGTACCAATGACGGTTCAGTATGTACAGTCTTGGTCAATAAGGATATTGATAAACCTCGTGCTATTGCTCTGCATCCATCTGATGGTAAGATGTTTTGGTCTGATTGGGGAAAGAAACCAGAAATTGCCAAAAGTAACATGGACGGGACCGAAGATTATTCATTCGTTTCCAATGATATCCATTGGCCTAATGGTCTAGCAATTGATTACCCGAATGAAAGATTATATTGGACTGACGGGAAGTTGATGACATTGGAAAGCATCAGATTGGATGGAACTGATCGAAGGATGATACTGGAAGGAATTGTTAAACATCCCTACGCAATCTCTGTCTTTGAAAACAGATTGTATTGGTCCGACTGGGCAACCTATTCAATCCAATCCTGTGATAAGTTTACTGGCAAAAACCACACAACTCTAGTCAAAGAAAAACGCGAGTATATTTATGGTCTGCATGTATTCCATTCTGCTCTGAAACCCCAAATGGTTAACCCTTGTAAGAATTCTATGTGCAGTGATATTTGTATGATTAGTGGAGCTAACCGCTACTCCTGTGCTTGTCCACTTCACAAAACACTCTCCCCGGATCAACACACCTGCAAGGAAGTTACCAAACGTCCCTTGGTGGCCGTGGCAGCTAAAGATGTCCTGGTCCAAATAGAACATACTGACCTTGGTAAACAAAGCATTGTTGCCCTACCCACGGTAGCTAAAGAAATTGGTGCTTTGGCCTACGATCCAAGCAACCACAGTCTGTTCATTTCGGACATCGGTAATGTAAAACGTATTATCACAGTCAACTTGAACACTGGATTGTCGCAGCCATTGTTAAGCGACAACTTGGGTGAAGTCAACGCGATGAGCTTTGATTACCTCGGGAATAATTTATATTGGTCTGATTTTGACAGAAAAAGTGTGGAAATCTTGAGTATTACCACTATGAGTCGTAAAGTTATTCTGCACGACTTAGGAGGTGAGATACCAATGTCCATCGCGTTGATTCCAGAAGAAGGAGCGTTGTTTGTGGCGTTGATCAAAGATAAAGTACATATTGACAGAATGAACATGGATGGGACAATGAGGAGTCATGTAATTGAATCTGGTTTGATGGGACCCATTGCATTACATTACGATGGCCTCCTGGATAGGATCATTTTTGCTGATGCTGGCACCGGACACATTGAAAGTACCAGCGCGCAGGGGGATGACCGACATGGTTTTAAAGCACTGCGGACTACTCCTGTGAGTGTTACAAGTTTGAGGGATGAAATTTTTTGGACTAATCAAAGATCAAAGTAAGTTTTTTATTCTCTAACCTTTAAAACGGTTTTAAAATGTTGTAATATTGTTTAGGCGAATCTATTGGTCAAAATCCACTGGAAACTTCAACAATAACAAGAAGATTACTCTGGATCTGCCGGAAGGTATTGATGTAATTCATCTTGCTGCAATCACTCCTTTCAAAGTCCCACCACATGCGTGCCGTGTGAACAATGCGAATTGTAGCCACATTTGCATCCCGAAAATGAAAGCATTTGAATGTGCCTGTCCGGTGGGTATGGCTCTTAATCCAAGAGACAACTCTACTTGTATCAAGAAGACTGTCTGCACCTCTGATGAATTCTATTGCGGCAGTTCAGACGTTTGTATTCCCAAAGCTTTCAAGTGCAATGGAAGAAAAGATTGCCTACTTGGAGAAGATGAAGAGCAGTGCAAAATAGAAAGTCATTGCCCAAGAGGATTTTTCCAATGTAACAACGACGGCAAATGTATTAGAGAAGCGTTAGTTTGTGATCTTCATTTCGACTGCACTGATAAATCCGATGAGAGGGATTGTAGAGACGCTCGTGGGGGACCGGAATGTGATGGTCATCGTTGCAGCGATGGTAATTGCATTGATGAGAGATTCGTGTGTGATGGAGAAATTGACTGTGTTGATGGTGACGATGAACAACAATGTCAAAGCAGTACTTGTGCTGCGAATCAATTTCGATGTGCTTCCGGAGCGTGTATTCCGAAGAACTGGGAGTGTGATCATGAGTACGATTGCGCGGATATGTCGGATGAACATGCAGCATGCAGTAAGTATTAAAATATTTCATTTCTGATGCAGTTTTAAAGTGATGTTTCTAAATAGAACCGAAAGCATGTGCAACCAATCAATTCACCTGCGTCAATGGAATCTGCATCGATAAATCTTTGAAGTGCAACGAAATCGATGATTGTGGTGATTATTCTGATGAACTCCATTGTTTGGACGATTCAGTTCAAGATGGCTGCCGACCCAATGAGTTTCAATGTACCAGCGACACGTCCATGTGCATACCTGAGACTGCCAAATGTAATGGAACTTCTGAATGTCCCCATCACGAAGATGAAGCTGGATGTTCCGATTGTCATGTGGATGAGTTTGAATGCAGCAATAAGAAATGCGTGCCACGCATGTGGATTTGTGACAATCACGATGATTGTGGTGACAATTCCGACGAGAGTATCTGCAACATGACCAGTAATGCAATTTCGCAGAAGTTGATTCCATGCGATGATGGATTCCGGTGTAAATCAGGTGCTTGTATCGACTTCAGACTAGTATGCAATGGTGACGAAGACTGTCACGATGGTAGCGATGAGAATGGCGCATGTCAAACGTCTTGCAAATCGCACACAAGCAATCCTTGTGATCAGAAATGTCAACCGACACCGAATGGACCAATGTGCGGTTGTAACCCAGGATTCATCCTCGCTGGTGATGGACAGACATGTAAAGATGCTCTGGAATGTAGTCGAGAACCACCAATTTGCAGTCAACTTTGTAAAGAACAAATCGGAAGCTACAGCTGCAGTTGTTACGATGGGTACGTCATTCGAGCGGACAAAACTTCTTGTAAAAGCACCGGTGAAACATTATCAATGCTCTTTGCTGTCAACAATGAGATTCGACAATTGAAACAAGCAGAAAATTCGATTTCCGTATTGCACCATGAGGACACTCCAAAGATATCCGGTTTGGATGTCAGTATTGCTGATAATTATGCTTATTTCAGCATTGAAGAATCCGGAACTATTCATAGATTGAATCTGGTAAAGGAACCATCAAAGAAACGTCAGTATATCTCTGACCTTGGACGTCCTCAAAAATTAGCTGTAGATTGGGTCACCAAGAACATTTACTTTGTAGAAGCTGAAACTGCTATGAAGAGTATTCAAGTCTGCAACTTCGATCAAGAGCGTTGTGCGAAGATTATTGACACTGATCCACACAGTCAAGTATCCGCGCTTGCTGTAGACGCAAATAACAAATACATCTTCTATGCTGTTACAACATGGTGGATTTTCAACAACCCGCAGAGTGTCATCTATAAAGCCAACATGGACGGTAAGAATATCCACGAATTGGTAAAAACAACTTCCGGTTATGTCACTGGGCTCGCTGTGGATTACAACAGGAAGGTACTCTACTACGCCGATCAACATTTGAATACAATTTCACGAGTAAACTACGATGGTGATGATAAAACTCTTATTATTACGAATGTAACCAAACCGAATGGATTGAGCTTGTTTGAAGATCATCTCTATTTTATGAGTCCGTATGGTTACATGGGTAAATGTAATTTATTTGGATTGCAAAGAACTTGCTCCATGTTTAGATTAAATGCATATGCAAGCGAATTTCTATCTCTGGTGCAAATATCTAGGCAACCCAATGCCACCAACGCCTGTGTGGGGCATTCTTGCAGCCATATTTGTGTACCGCATGATTTTGGAGCTACCTGCTTGTGTGAGAATGGTAAAACTGTACAAGAGAATGAACAATGTGAGGAATCGGGACGTTCAGCGTCGTCTGCGTCGGATAAGAGGCCTAGATTCCAAGCTCATCCCAGCGAGGAAGACACAACTTCATCAGGGGCCGTTATCTTCGGTATTCTAATTCCAATTTTGATTGTTATGATTGCTTTTGGAATCTTTTATGTTATCAAAAAGAGGCATACTGGCAAATTTAATGTTAGGTAAGAAATTTCACTTTTATACAGATTTTTATGTTAATATTCGGTATTTAATTTGTTCGTTTTGTTTCAGTATGAGGTTCCATAATCCAATTTATGGAATTCAACAAGAGGAAGAGCGGCAAGACCATGCCGTGCTGTTAAATCCCGGGGAGCACGAATACTGCAATCCTGTCGAAGTGTTCAACAAAACCAACAGCCGGCGTCGCAGCGAAGATTCGCTCATGAAACTAAACGATTAACGTTTGTAAGAATTTAATACTTGTGTGCACATAATTTGCACATACACCGAAAGAAAATGGCGCATTGTCAAAAAGCCAAAGTTTCGCGGTACTTGTTATTTATTGTTGTATAATGTTACTGTTATTTTTCACAGATAAATAGTATTTAACTAAGATGTGCATTAATGGCGTTTAAATATAATTGTAACTGCAATTAATGGTTATTTTAAAAGAATAAATTTTTCGAATTTAATACTTTGTGTTTTATCTTTTCATGTAAATAAATAAAAGTATTATTTTATGATGCAATATGTTTCGCTGAATCAACATTTGCTAACCATTAAAAGAACAGAAAATTATTAAATATTTACCTGGTATATTCAGCCATCAATAAAATTCATTGAACACTGCACAGGGAATTCCAGTTTTGAATCTGTTTGAATCAGTGTGGTATTCTATTCTAGGGGATTTGGTTGAGGTTGGTGTGACATTTGGAATGCTTTCCAAAACGACCGTTAAATCCGTTACTCGCTACGACTGATTCGCGTGCTGTCCGTGTCGTTTGCCGCCTGTTTTCCTTATTATTTACAAAACCGGGCCACAATTTTAATCAGCCATTGAAAATGGCACGCACAAAAGCACCTAAGAAGAAACTCGCGGCAAATTCAGCTGCACTTGAGCTCTTGAAAGAAGCACTACATCAAAGTAAGTAAAAATGCATCCTTCAATGCTGAAATGTCAACTAATTTGTTTCCATCCAATGTTTAATTGTACATAATTCTATATTACAGAGGAAAGAGAAGTGAAGCAACTGACTGCCTTAGGAGAATCATTTCATGACATAATTGAAAATAAAATTGATTTCATAATGTTTTATTTACCACATCCAGAGAAACCATTTAAAGAATTAAAGGTATGCTACATAACAAATTTTGTCTGAGAATTATATGTAATATAAATTTGGTCATTTTCTCTGTAGCTTATGACAAATTCTACTATATTGAAGACAACCTGTGATAATATTGAAAGTTCAGTCAGTTATTCAACCAAGAAAAGTGTGACTGCAAAGAAGAAAAGGAGTCTATCTTGTGCCCCAGATGATGATGGTAAGTTTAACATCATGAATTTTTCAGTATCATGATCATATGTCAATTATTGTTTATCATGGTGTTGTGCAAAAAAAAACTAACAGTATTTCATTTTCATCGACTAATTTGGGGCCTTTTGTATGCACGAACATTCAGGTTATATTACAGGGGACAGTGCATCAAGCCGCACCACTCGCACATCTCGCGCTCGTTCGAGGGCTCCACTGGCTAACAGTACCGCGCGAGTATCGAGATCATTATCCCGTACAGCGAGCCAGCAATTGCCGAAATTAAACACAAAAAATAAGGGATTCCAAACGCCTGCGGGAAAACAGCCGAATAATGCTTATGGAATGGTCACACCAAAGGTATATTATAAATACTTTGTGCACTGGTGCCAGAATTGTTTATTTTATGGTTTATTTTTATTCAGATGCAACCAAATGCACCACAATTAATCCTGAGACGTCCGAAGCACGGCGAAATGGCAATCTCGATGGAAGGCAGTCCCCTTATGGTCAACCCAGTGGCCACGGATCACATTGCCAACGTGAATATCCCCCTAGGCGAAGGCAGACTTCTCAGCTTGCAACCAGAGCGTGGCCTGCGAGTGTCCATGGTGCCAAATCTCGACCCCGAAACTCAGGCACAATTGCTGACGCTCAGCGCGCACATTCAACAGATTTGCGCTGCCTCAAAGCGGGTGTAGAGCGTTATGCATGGTACTCGTTGTATATTTATTACCTGAAGAGACTCTTTCATTGCAATGGGTTGATTTTTTTTATAAGTTTAGTATTATAACTCTACAATTTTTATATACTTACATGTATTAGCTATACATTAGTGATTATTAGATATCTCAATTTTTTACACAATTTTTATATGTTCGATATTGAAATAAAGTTCGTTTTGATACAATTTTGAGTGTAGTCGATTTGAATTGTCGGTTGTTCTGATCTACTGGTTGCCTACTATTTGATGCTGCGCATGCGCTAATATTTCCCGCGAATAATAAGAAACGTAGCAAGTGAGCAACACGTCGCTGCTGAGTACACGATTTTTATTAATTTTAACTTAAACTTAGTGAATATGACTGAATTTTTAAAAAGTTAAACGTATAGTTACTGTGTCAGCTTTATTGTGTTGGTTTCTGCAGTGCAGTTTGTACAAAAATAAATATTGTTTATATTATAACCTTTTAATATCAACTACTTCAACTACATCTTAGAAAGTTAATGAAAAATGCAAGAATCTGAAGAAACTGTGATGCATAAACCAGAAGATGATGGTCAAGAATCTTCAAGTGACACACAAATACCTTCCCAACCAGATGTGCCCCAGATGCTCCAGACTCACCTATTGATGACACTACAAGTAAGTAATTGATTGACTCAGTAATAACTTTCTATAACAATCTATTTTTAAATATTTTTAATAGATATAGTTGCACTTTCAATCAAGAAGACAAAGAAAAGAATAATCATGGATAGTGACAGTGAGAATGAAGATGATAATAATACTGATAGGAATAGTGAAGTTGATGAAAACATACAATCACAACCAACATTGCTTAATAATAGTGACCAAGAAGAGGAATTACCAACAGATGAGAATCCAAAGAAGAAAACTTTTAAATTAATTGATACAGACAGTGAACCAGAAGCAGACAATGAAGATAATGAGCAAGAAACTCTGCAAGCACCTATTTATACAGTCAATGATAAGAAAGAATTAGTTCCAGAAAGAAATATTGTAAGTTATTATTGCAAACTATTATGTAATTAGTTATTTATTATATTTTTCTTAGGCTGATGGTTTAGCAGCTCTCTGTGATCCTGAATCCTCTGATGATGAAAGGCAGATACAACCATTGGCATACAAGAAAAAACCAAAGAAAAAAGGTGAAGAGCCAGAAGAAAAACGAATGACCGCCAAGGAAGCAGCCGAGCAACGCAAAGAAATCGAATCGGTATCACAGCGAATGTTGCGAGAATCGCATGTTTCTCTGCCGTATCACAAACCGAAGCAACGAAGTCTTAGAGAATTCTTGCAGAATCGACCTAAGTTTGCAAGTTCGGTTCCTTCTGATATTTCAAAAGTTCCGGCGGCAGTGGCTATAAAAATGAGCCGGGAACAGCTCGATTTTGTTAGTAAGAAAATACAAGAACGCGAAAAGCAAGTAGCAGAATTTTATAAATCTGAAAGTGAAGAAGAGGAAGAAGAATCTCAACCAACATGTTCTGAAAACACTGAGACTGTTATTGAGAATTCAGAAGTTATTGAGGATAATGCAGAAAAGGTACAAAAGGAAACTGAAACTGTGGATGCATCAGAAACACTCAAACCCATTGCTATCAACCAAACAGAAGAAACAAACACAGATGAAAATCAAATGGATGTTGTCATGGAAAGTAACGAACTTGCTGATAAACCTATAGAAACAGTAGAAGTTGAAACTGAGGAAAATATGGAGACAGAAATAAATGATGCAAATAAAACTAATGAAAGCGCAGCAATTGACAAGGACGCCTCTGTGGAACTGCAATTTAATATTTCTGATTTAGATGGGGGCGAAACCGATGCAGTAAATGATATTGTTCCAACGGATGAAATTAATCCTACCAAAAAGTCAGCATTACAGCTCTTAAAAGATCAACTCGGAGATACACAACCGAAACTTAGCGGTGCGCCAAATTATGTAATAGATTTAGAAGAAGGCACAACTCGCCTCGATGAAGTGTCTCAACTTATGCAACGATTTGTTAAACATACAACCAAGAAACCCGTACACAAGAAAGCATCTGCAGTTGAGTTAGATATAATGTGTGTTTCTCAAGGTGGTGAGATTCATAAAGAAAAAGTAGCCATGAAGATAGAAGACCATGAAGAACCTGCTATTGAAGAAAAGCCAGGTGTAAAATATCAAAAGTTGCGAAACGATCTGCAAACTCAAATGGCGCAACGTCGTAATGAGGTGTGGAAGGAAAAACAAGCTAGATTACAAGCCGAAAAGGAAGCAAATGCTGATGATGATGTTTATAAGGATGAACGGGAGGATTGTGGAATTGATGATATTTTGGATGACGAGGAAGAGGAATTTTCGAATGCTGGTTCCGATGAGGAAGATGAAGAAGATGATGCAGATGGTGAAGAAGAGGACGAAATTGAAGGAAATGCAGGCGGTATGTTGGCAAATGAAGCTTCAGAGGATGATGATGAAACTGAAGATGTAGGTGATGAAGAAGCAGAAGAAGAAGAGACGAAAAAAGTTGTGAAACAACATCGGCGCATTGTACAACCAGCAGACTCTGATTCTGATGATGAAGAGATTGTTAAACCTACTGAGAAGAATATGGATTCGACTGTTTCGTGGCCTGATGATGATGATTTGATATCTGCTGGACAGACCAAATCATGTCGCACTCCTAATAAACAATCCTGCATGCAAACCAAGTCTGAATTAGGTTTCCTTTCGCCTGTTTGTCGCTTAACGGGCCTTCAAAGTTTTGATGCAACGGGTAAATTTCTGCAAAATTCTCCAGGTTCACCTGCGATTAAACTGAGTGAACCTTCACCTTGTAAAAGTCCCACAAGATTTTCGAAGTCGCTTTTCTCCGAGTCGCCCATGAAAAACACTCAAACACAGAATTTAGAGGAATTGTGTTCCGGTGCGTTTCCCACTCAACCTACCACCATTAATGACACTGATGCCCAACCTGATGCAAGCACTCAAGATATGTTAGAACTTTGTTCAGGTAATTTTGGTTTTACTCAAGAAGAAACGCCGCAATTAAAAAGTAAGACACCAGACAAGCAAGAAGTACCAAAAACAGTTCAGGAAGATTTAACGGAAAAAGAAAACGTTGTTGAAATTGAAAAGAATACAGCTGAAGAGCTTCCAATTGATGATGATGAAAACGATTTGATATCGCAATTAATAGATGAAGACGAACTGGCGACTTTTAAGAAAAAGTTTGAGTCACCATTGCAAAGTGCCTATTCTGCACCTGATGCCGATGAGAGGATAGCTCAAAAGATTGCATTCAATGCGATAAATGAGGCTGATTCTGAAGACAACTCCGATGAAGACGATGAAATTAACATGACAGTCAAGCGTAAAAAGAATACGATTATGGATTCAGACGATGAAGAAGTTGCTAAAGATGATTTGGAGGAACAGATAGATTTGCATGATGGGGATGATGATGATGTTCAAGATGAAAGCAATGACGAAGTTGATAATCCTAATGAAACTGAACTTGGGTATGATTCCGAAGAAAATGAAATTTTAGTAGAGAAAACTCAGAAATCCAAGAAATTTAATCTAAAAGACTTTACTGAGCATGAAGCCGAGTTGTCAGAGTCTGAATGGGGCAGTGACGACGAAGATGAACGACATTTAGATGTTATGGAATTGGAAGAAGGCGACAAAGAGCAGTTTGATGAAACAGAGTTGCGCAACGACTTGGAGAAAATACACATGCGGCGTATCTTGGACGAAGACAAGAAGGACTTAAAGGTGTTGCAGGAGTTGTACATGGATGAGGATGAAGAGTTGAAGGGCGCTGGAAGGCAGAGGCAGTTCAGATGGCGAAATATAGGTAAATAATAAAATTTAATTTTGAAGAATAAGCACTATTAACGTTTAACTATTCATTTTTAATAGATAATGTTGATAATGACGAATCGACCGCTCAAGATCTTGAATCTTCAATAACAAATGAAGAAGAATGTGAAAACGAGGAGGAATGGAGAAAGAAACGCTACGAGCGTGAATTGTTCCTTCAATCCGTGAGTTTATATTAGTTTGTACCACGTAGGTATGTATTTTAAACAATGTTTCGTTTTATAGCAAAAACAAAATGGCGACGAAGAGGATGACGATACTACCGTGCCTTTAATTGCGGCCAAGAGCCAATTATTCAAGTTGGGTCAACGTGCCGTCATCAACAACAAGCGGAATTTGAGTAAAGCAACTCAACCAGTTCAAATTAAGCAAACTTATGTATCGAAAGTATGTTATTCTATAACCCTTCCGATTTTGTTATTAATATTTAATCTTTTCCATTGTCACACATTCAGACACAACGCGGTTCTTTCCTTTCACGAAATGATGAAGTTCTTACAAGAGTTGCGGAATATACAAAAGTAAGCGAGGTTTTGATAGGTGCCCCGAAAAACTCCCGGAACTTTGTATTTCACGCCAAGACCACTGAAACTAGTACATCAACGAGTATTGAGGTGAAAGCAAATATTAATTACTCGTTATATTTTTATATTGTGGTGGTGTGTATTTTATAGGACAAGAAAAGAAAGGCTGGCGAAATGGGAACACCAGCACAGTTGAAACGTTTGAGACTGAACGGATTTAGTCCTGCTGATCAGAAGAAGAAGGCCGAATCCAGAACGAAAGCAAGACTATTTTGTAATAAGAATAGTAATCAATGGTAGACGTTGGCTTGCCAACGGATTATTTTAAACTGCTAAGACTAGTTTTATGTGATTTTTTTTATTTATTACTAAGCAAATCTCTGAATTGAATATATTAAAATATTAAATTTAAATGTTAAGTTTGTTCAGGTAGTATTTAGAACTTTTACGTGATGACTGCAAGAGAAAGGAATCAAGACACTTACGAATGGACTGATGTCCTACAATTGATAACCCGCGAAAAATGGTGGGGGTTAGCCGTCACTCCATAGTAGGTTGCACATATATGGAACCCCGGGATCCTGCGAAAACCGATAGTGAGCGGGGGGAAAGTTTGAGACAACGTTAGGTTGTTTATAAATTAATTTAACGTTACATTAACATTTCTCTTCCCCGATAGTCAGTAATTTAAGGTTTGATTTGCCCTTTTGAAGTGCTTGGTGGGAATAAAAAACGTAATAAAAGCGCAACAAGTGTGCGGTGTACGGCGCTTGCCGCCCCCATCATAGCACATAGCAACAGGCGTTACGAATAATTCCTGCGATCTTTTCCTGCAAACAGTAGAATACAAAATTAAATCGCTTGGAAATCAATTCGCAGCGATTTAATTGTTGGTGTCAAAGATGCACTTGAGCGTGAAGCATCTGCAACGCACCTCCTACAACAGTACGCAATGAAACCAAACTTAATTAAGGGAAAATGGTCCCAATTTGTTTTGGCAATAGAATGTGAACATTCATCGTTCCATCGCTGGAAAACGTTCCAGAAGAGCCCATATGGCATCGTTTCTCACCACACACGCAAAACCATCCGCACTCGAAATAGCATGTGAGGGCAATATTGGGTATTCTGTACCGTTTGTGCTTCCCTACAATACATATGTGAACGAGTGCATTCTCCTGCGAGTCGGCGTGCGGTTCGAACAATATGCGACCAACGAACAGCCCTTACCCAACCAAAAGCATGAGTGCTTGGGAAACGAGGGATGATTCATATCGATCGATCGTTCTTCGAACGCTCGAATACTTCCTCCTGTTACAAACATTGTAACACAAAGTTACAAAACGAAACCCTAGGATGGAAATAGAATGAAGGTTGTATTATGTGGGAGCTTAAACGTTTGAATCTTTGTCATTTATAATATGCCCACATTTCTAAACACCTGCTGCTTTTCAATTACTAGTATTCACTAATCACCATATTACATTTAAGCGTATAACTTACTTTTACAATTTTAATCACATTTTCTAATTGCACTTTTAAATTACCACTTTTCTATGGTTTGCGGCCTCGAAAAGTGCCATTTTGCCGCGTAGAGCCCCTGGGATGATTAAAATACTTGAGGCAATTGGTTCACGCGGCCATTCCAAATGCCATGCGCAGAAAGTCCAACATATTTATTTATAACCTTTCATTTCTCAGTATTGTGCGAAGGAAGTTCGGAAGTTTTAAAATAAAAAACTTGAAAATTGAGTGAAAGTAGAAAAATAACGTAAACATCACATCGCTAAACATAATTAAACGCTCGCGCTTAATCAATTTTGTGTCTTAAGTACCGTATTTGCAACGAAAACTGTAAGTTATACTTATATTCTTTTCTAATTGTTATCACAAATAACAAACACATTATTCTCTGCAAAGTTATTTACGATAATTGCTTCCTACCAGCATTAAATACGGCTGCATCTAAATGAATTTAAATTCTTAAAAAAATAACGCACGGAAACAAAACACACTCGAGGTCTCGGCATACCTTGAGTTCATTATCAAAGCCTTTCATTACCACAGCACGACGCGTCTATCAAACAATGCGTACCATCATGAAATGCTAAAATTGCAACCAACATACCGGTACTCATATTTGTTACTGTTCGCTGGTTAAACTTGTTGCTTGCGTGTAAAAATAAAAAATATACGCAATTAACTATGTATGAGTATATTAGGGTCCCCGGTGAATTATGAAATAAAAAACAATAAAAAGCGTTTGCCATTCATTGGGGTATGAGATCTACACGTATCACAATGTGTGAGGAGTTTTTGTCTCACGGAGTTATTTGTTATCGTCACAAAATGATTTTGAAGGTAAAAAAGGTTAAAGAGGATAAAAATGCCCGCAGATTCTTTAAGTGGTATGATAAATTCACTTATACACTATTTACAATAACTCACATCAACGAAGATGTTAACATTTTTATTTGTGTTGAGAAAATATTTTCCTCAACGTGAAAACTGTTTTAAATTGAATTTTATAATGAAGTTTTTTATTATTACTATCATTTTTAAAGTTTTCTCAATCCCCTTGATAGAACCCAACCAATTTTCTAACGAAACAGTTTTCGCATTTTCCTCACCTCTTGTTTCTTCTTTCCGCACGCGTACAGCGCCGTCATCTAAATGTAAAATCTCCGCCGCCGCCGCCGCCTGGCGCGCACTAAGCGTGTACACATTTTATGCATTATGCAGGCGCATTGCGAGCACATTACGAGTCAATCAGCCATCAATTTGCATAGTTTAATACTAAACGACTGCTAAACGCCCGCGCGCCAACCGTCCTCTCCTCGGCAATCTGGCTAATTTCACGAATCACAACATTCACCACATTACCGACAAATTCAATAAGAGGGTGGGACTTTCTCTTCTCTTCGTTCCTTCCATCAACAACTTATTATTATTTATCTTTCAATATACAATATTTCGCTAGCGATTTAGTTCACATGCTACCGCATGACATTTGTTGTGTTGCGTTTTGTGTTTGCGTTTTGTTTCTGGTTATCCAGTTATAATTTAAAGACGTTGTGCTCAATTATAGACCGCGGACGATTTCAGCTCTTGTCTTGTACTTACAAATAAACAACAGCGCTGCATTATTCACACGCGATGCACAATCGCACTGTGATTGAATAATAAATATTGTCCAATGCCCGCATGAAATGTCACCAGATTTGCGATTGCCTTCTTTAATTATTTACATCTCTCTGCACTGCTTTTTGTATGCTTCTTGTTTGAATTCATGAGAAATGAAAATACAATTTTCATCGCGACAAATTGTAATTTAATTATGTTAGCTACATGCAGTATTTCGTAGACTTAATATAACTCTTGTTATTAATTTTAAATTTCAAGAGAAGAGCCAACAAAGCGAGATTGTAATTTACACCAATAATTTCTTACTTTTCTCACTTTGTTCACGCTCAGCTGCACATTCTTTTCATTATTTTTCATTAGCCATGCTGTAATTAACTTGAAAGACTTTAAACTTTATTAATATTTTGAAGAACACCAAATTAGGCAACCATATTTACTTTATTAACATTTCTTATGAGCAAGAATAGTTCAACATTTATAACCTCACAAATTTTATTATGCGAAATGTTAATTTTGAAATTTTACTGCGTAAATCATAAAATAATTGCAAATATCGTCGAATGTGTTTACGAAATTCAATATGATAATGCATGCCATTATCCCGAGTTGAACAAGTTCGGAGTCGCGCGCGGATCGCGGATTCAATTACAAATAACATTCCGTCATTAACTCCCATACCCTCTGTACCTGTACCGACGAGGGTGAAGCATATTTCGCTGAAATATTTCAATACTAGTAGAATATTCATTCACATGAAACACTTTACATTTTTTTAGTTCAGTAAACTTTGAATTAAATTTTTTGTAACTATTTTTTGCTCTGTGTGGATCTTAGAAAATGTTTCGTCCTCTGGGATTTCCCGATGGCAGATTACATTTAATCCTCCTTTTGCTTCTTGCCTCCTTTCTTCGCGTACGTGCGCTTTGATGGGTTATTTACTCATTTTTCTTTCGCCCACCGCTCTGTCGCCCGGTTTTCCACCTTAATCGCCTTTCCTGCGGGATTTATCTCCAACCAAGCAAGGGCTTACTCTATTACCGCACCCGAAACCCGGCCTCACAACAGGAGAATATAATTTTTATATAGTGGAAACTCTTACACAAGGGCTTCTTTTCATTGTGCGTGACATATGAATCATGCGCCGCGTGCACGGCGCCACAAGCTGAAATAATTTGCGGTGCGGAATGTAGACAGTGCGTCGCGACGTCCGTCTGCCGCCGGGGTGCGTTGGATTGCGTGAGGCGTCGCGCAGAAAACCCTTCGTCCTGTGCGCGGCCCTTTGCATTATTTCACTCGTCGCCGTTTAGGCGCGCCAGCGCCAAAGATTGTTTGTTGGCAAAAGGGGTTAAAGCGCACTGCTTCGCAAGGGGTATGTAAGTGCGGCTGACGGGCGCGGAAATACGCGGAAAGTGGAGTGAAATCATTTTTACTTTTACCTCGTTGAAGACTAAACACGGTAATCGTGGCGTATTTAAACGCATGCGATGGGGATATGATTCATCACTCTCCCTTTCTAAGCATGTAAATTAAATATACGAAGGATAAAAAAAGGAAAGTTTTATTTTTTTGTATGTTAAGTTGCCTATAGGTATCGTATGAAGTATTTGTAACTTGGTTAAAGTAATGGTAGTTTTTTTCGTCAGAACAAAGAAATGATAAAAGAGCGCTTGTCCGGAAACTGAATGCAATTTGCGTAATAACCGGAAATTCGGAAGGTTTGCGTTTGATTCTCGCTAGACTGGTCAAACGCACATTCAGAAAAGAAAAAATCCAAACTAGGTTTGTTACATTCGTTACCTCGGCCGTAAAGTGCGAAAACCGAATGAGAAAAAGGGTGCACCGTGAAAATAATGAACGCAAAGTCAAAACACAACACTTTTACCCTCTGCGACGCCAAAAGTGTGACTCATACTCCTATTACACATACTCTTTTACACTTTACACATTCATCGTATGCTAATTAGTCGTATAACATCAAATATAATTTGATCATTTGCTCATTGGTTTTATTTTAATGAAATTTCATCCGATGACTTGTGAACAAAATGATTCAAGATCCCAGCGGATTTCCTCCTAACCAAATACAAGATTATTTGGTTAGGCAACCATATAAACACTGCAAATTAGATTTGAATGCTGCGTGATGACGAGCGAATGATGAGTGGCCTGCTCGTTGGATTCAGCAGGAAAGTGTGGGAACGCGGCGCGCCCTTTGCGCTCACGCAGATTACTATACTCGGGGGAGTGTATTCCGTACGGCAGGAGCACT